AGATAGGGGGTGAATTCATCGGAAAAGCCTGTGAAGGGGGGGGGGTGGGTTAACTTTTCTTCTTTTCCCTAGATAGGGGGGGGGGTCAAAAAAATGAGGGAACAAGAATAGGCCCCCCTAAATATAGGGAGTGGGGGGGGTGCATATGTCCCAGATAATTTACTAGGCACTTTTGGTTTGGTTAACTGGGTTATGAAATATGGCGGATGGGTGGAGACCGAATTATAAGTTCCCGTTTCGAACTTAGGAATGCTGTGGAAATCGAGACTGTCTTGTTCTAAAAAATACATTTTACAAACGAATAGAGTATACATTATATTCATGGTGTACTGCCTTGACAGCTTAAATGATTAAATAAGTACTTTGAACTTACCTTGGCACGGTCTGAATCTTGTGCCTCTGTTCCTTTCGCAACATACGGTAAAACAAACCCTTTGTTGTCATATTCTGTTGGTCCCAAATTGGGTCGTGTAGGCTGTAAAATGACAGGTTAATATAAACTATAGGACTTACAACTGTGTATAGAAACTATGCTGTCAAGTGTATGTATGGATATCAATCAATCAAATGTAGTAATCTAGTAATAATATCAATAATAACATATGAACTTAATAATTGAAAAACCTTCAGTGGAAGGATGTTATTGCATTTGGTACCAACCTTTTCAAACCTTGGTGCATGTTCCATGACCTTTGCAAGGTGTTTCAGTTGTTCTTCCGGTTGGGAATCCCATGAAATATCACTAAGAGTGTCGTCATCACCGTATCGCCACATGTTGCGTTGTCCTTGTTCCTTCACACGATTAAAAAAATCAGAAACCGAACCTGATTTTGCATCTTGCTTCTTGCGTACTAGACAGCAAAATATGACCGAAATCACCAAGGCAATAGTGATTATAGTAGCCGTTGTACCAATTGAAATTACTAAGACCCGGTCCAAATCATTGCTCGGTAACACTGTGGAAGAGAGATAATTGAATTTTGGAACCGTTGTTTATTACATCATTTAAATTTAATGAACATGAAATTCAAATAATATCAAATATCAAATAGATAGTATGATTAGAGGAAGAAGAATGCAGCATTGAATATATATATATATATATTGAGCAATAATATATTATTTTATGAAATACTAACTTGTCGACTTTTCACATATATGTCCTACGTAACCTGTTGGACACCTGTTAAAATAAAATTACGACAGGAATGTATACATTATACTAATATTATAATATATATACAGAACTATCACACATAAGAGACTACGATGACAGTGCATACATTGCAGTATTATGCACATGCAAATACAAACTAACATTACATTAACGGCATGTCTGCCATGAAATGGTTTAACTATGAAACAAAGTACATTTCAATGATTCACTTACTCGCATTTACGTTCTGCGATGCTGTCTCCAACACAAGTTCCTCCATTGACGCAGTACGTTGTAGGACAAATCTCTGTAAGCAAATTCAAGTAGAGACATAACATGAGGTAAAAATACTTGATATACGTTATATTCTTTATTCCCTGATGTAGCAAACATATATAAATATGTTGTGATCCTATAATTATTTAGTGATCATATCGCATTTTATACGACGTATATTCAAATACATACCATGCAATTTAATAATTATATCAACGTTTACTGGTGCATTTATTGAGTTTCATTACAACAAGTGACAAGGCATGATATTAGTGAATGCTCACATTTAAAACAATTGTATGAAACTGTGCATGTTTGTGAAATGATCAAACGATCGTTCATTGTTGTTCTTATTGTTTACCTGTACAAATTCTTCCTGGCCTTTCAGGAGATTCGTCTTCATATCCACTATTACAATCACAATGGAATCTGTCTACTACATCTATGCAATCGGCATCGACACTACAGTCATGTGTGACATCACTGTCACATGCTTTTGGAGTATATTCTGGAAGAAAAATATCATTATTAAAATAATCAACTACCCAATCAAATGATTATTATACACACCATATTGTCCTCCAGACAATGTGACAACTGCTGTAGGTGGTCATTCAAATTATCATAGCTTTCATTGTAAAATCTTTACAAATAACAACCATACACATTATACCTTGGATGAGAAGAGTGCTATCTTTAAACACCACCTTGGTACTAGATGTGACATCAATCACCTCATTATAATTGGCAAGAACGTCTTCCAAATCTGACACACTTATATCTGTATCTTTTTTAAAATATAATATATATTCTATATTAACACTGCCACGGCTTAGCTTTTGTACATGACAGCCTTGGTAGTCAGATCTTGTCTTAGTAGTGTCAGTGTGAGCAATTCTCATCTATAAAGGGAATGCAGAAAAAACTGTCAAAATGCATTCGACAAAACAAGTTTAATAGCATTTGAACTAACATGTGTAATGACATACACGATGATATTAAGCTATATTTGCATATTGTAAATTAACTATTTACACCAACACTACTGCTGCACATCACCATACAAACACCCACCCAACTACACCACCAACGAACACCGACACCACCAAACCACTACCATCGCCAGAGTTAACAATTCTTCCTGGAATCCATGCAACAAAACGTTTCTTTGTGAATTATACCTTAGTATATGAATTATTGTTCGACAAATACCTTTAATTTCAATGTGTTAATGTATCCAATGTGCCAGAAACGTTCATCTATTGAACTCAATTGACTTAAATTACATCTTATGAGAGAAGGCAACATAAAACAGTTCATCATCTGCATACTAGTTATGTTGAAGAATAAGTGTAAATGAAGGGGTGTATGTCAACTCGAAGTTCGTAAAAAAAAGTTATGAATTGTTGATTAAGAATATGAGATAGTAAACAAATCAATGTAAATGAAATAGTTCCCGTATTGTTTTTAGTGACTTTGACAAACAATGAAATACATAGTCAGATTATGTTAAAATATTGGGATATTCAGCATATTAACTACAAATGTGCATGAAACAGGTATACAGTTTGAATGAAATCGGCGAAGGCATGTCCAATAAACGGTTAAAATGACCATTTCACAAAATTTCATTGAAATTCAAAAATAATTAAAAACAACATTTAACCCATTATATCTTGCATTTGTACCACATTCAAACCCCGTCTGTAAAAACAACTTTGTAAAATGGGCATAAACAACTCATATACCAATGCCAAGTTTGAATGAAATTGGTCAAGGCATGTCCGAGGAACGGTTGACATGTTCAAATGTTGATATTTGGTGTTTTTTGGGCCAAAAATGGCTACCAGTCGGTCAAAGGTCAACCAAATCAACAATAAATCACTGTGCACATGCTTCCCATTATGACCTGTCCAGGCTGCTCTGAAAAATCGCACAGACCGAACCGAAAACATAAGTCCCCGTTTCGGACTACGTCCGACGGGAACTAATGCTGTAACAACTACATACTTGTGTGATATTTCTTACTGTAGAGATAGTTTTAGTGTTAACCGTCCGAAAAATCAAGGTTTAGAATGTTTGAAAGCAACATCTTTCTATGATTCACAGTTTTATAAATTTGAGTTGGACCCAATATTCTGTCTGAATGTATTTTTCACAAAATGCGTGCAATAAACCGCAAATTATTTTTTGTAAAAAATAATTAATTAAAAATAAAAAAATAAAAAAAATGCCCTCTGTTATTAGTGAACGAACTCACCGCCTCAGTGAATCGTCTTGTTACTTCCTTATAACCTGATGATGATAAGTCATCATACTCGTCTTTGTAATCTTCAACGATTTTAACGTCAGCTTTGAATGTTTTGGAGTCTGAAAACACACACACAAAAAAAGTTATCATATTGTTCATGTTTGCTACTTGATGAAGGACACACCAAACATTAGAGGAACTTTAACTGTACTTTAACTGTTTATATCACCGGAAACAATATAATTTGCTGTACTGTAAAAATCACTGTTTTATAAGTACTATTCGACTGTTCAAATAACGCGACACGACAGAAATAGCATCCATTCACTAAACGTCAATGTTCGGGATATAATCTCTCATTAAATTATTACTACAAGCAGAAAAAAAGATGTATAATAATAAAGTTATCAAGCGAATACCGCAAAATATGAACGCATGCATTACGGGTCTCGCATAAAACTTTACTACGCGTTGGTCTATATTACCGCCGCACTGTCTTCACGCAAACTCGTAATAAGCTCATAATACTGTAAAACGACTAATTTTCACTGGGTTTAAATATCGCCGATTAACCATTCCAGGTATATTCAGTGAATTTTTAATTCACGTTTTTATCATTTCGATAATGTGTTCTATGCTAAATTTTACATATTCACTGGGTTTTAATTTAATGCATTTTCTAGTCAACGAAATAAGCAAAATTAAAACTCAGTGAATAATTAACCCTTTTACATTAAATCATACAATTACTTGTGGTTTATGTGTTTTAATAACAAAAATAGATGCTCCATCAAACATAGTTAAGCTACACATGGCAGATCATAGTTGAGGATAGTTTAATAATGATCATCTAATTAGAATGTAGAAACATTATATGGAAGTTACTCATACTTTTATTAAATATTATTGGAGCTATCGCGCCCACAAGTTACGATGACCACATTTTGCCACTACTATGACTCCACCTTCACTCATAATTGACAAGCCAATAATATACAGTGATAATCAAGGCAATTGCCAATTGAAAGGAGTCTAAATACCTATTTAAACAACGTTTTTCATATTCTATTCTATTTCATTATCGGCTATGTCATAACCATATCCGGTTTACACTCTTCCAGATTAAGGATTGTCATACTGAATTACGTTCATTAAAAACGTTCATCGAAACACGTTTTAACCGATTACAGTTAGTTAAAAAACATGTCATTTATACAGTATTTTCAGCCTGAATTCAAGAATATGCAATGATGGCAAACAATGATGACAAACAATGATGGCAAACAATGATGGCAAACAATGATGGCAAACAATGATGACAAACAATAATGGCAAGCAATGATGACAAACAATGATGGCAAACAATGATGACAAACAACGATGGCAAACAACGATGACAAACAATGATGACAAACAATGATGACAAACAATGATGACAAACAATGATGGCAAACAATGATGACAAACAACGATGGCAAACAACGATGACAAACAATGATGACAAACAATGATGACAAACAATGATGGCAAACAATGATGGCAAACAATGATGGCAAACAATGATGACAAACAATGATGGCAAACAATAATGGCAAGCAATGATGACAAACAATGATGGCAAACAATGATGACAAACAACGATGGCAAACAACGATGACAAACAATGATGACAAACAATGATGACAAACAACGATGGCAAACAACGATGACAAAAAATGATGACAAACAATGATGACAAACAATGATGGCAAACTAATAAAGATTTTTAACAATCTTACTTTCACATTTTCCACTTGTATTGAATGTTCCAGGAAGACATGTGCATTTATAACTGCCTGCAGTGTTTATACATTGATACTCTGAATCACATGGTTCATCTATACATTCGTCAATGTCTGAAATACAATCATGTTCATTATATGAAATGGTAACATTGATATAAATTTCTAATTTACGATGATACTGAAGGATTAGATTATATATTTTTCAATAATTTGTAATTTGTAATTTATTCATTGAGAACAGTACATCCATAAATGTTTTTTCATGCACAGCATATAGATATAAAAATTAACATAGAATTAAACAAACCACTGTAAAAATGACAGAGAACACAATAAAGAAAAGCATAAATAGGGTATAAAATTAAATGACTACGAAATAATATGATAAAATTACAATAAAAAAATGACAATAACATAGCAGTCCGAACAAAACGATAAAATGCATAAATGGGGGTAAAATATGAATTGACAACAAAGTAGTAAGATAAAATTATACAATATTATTAGCAGCTGTAGCTGCGCGATATTTAAAAGAGCGAGTGTGAGATTTTGAAATTTATGGTGTTGTAGGAATGGATGGCAGAGTTTGAAATGAGAAGGTCAGATAAGTATGGTGGAACTAAATATTGCTTGCATTTGTAAACGAGTTTATTAAAGTGTTTAGTTTGTCTGTCTTGAATGGTTGGCCAACCAAGAGCTGATCATGCAATGGAGACAGGTTCATGTCTTTTCAAGCCACATTGGATGCGTACAGCAAGGTTTATGATACGTTGCAGACTACTTTTTAGTGTAATGCTGCAGTTAGAATACACAGTGTCACAGTAATCAAGTAGTGAGAATACTGTGGCAGAGATAATGTCCTTGTGGGCTTTCTCAGGAATGCAGCGACGAGATCATGCGAGGCGTGATAGGCGGAATCCACATGTCCTACGAAGGTAGGCTATATGGTATATTGTTTGTATTTATGTGACTAATGATTGAGGGTGAATATAGAATTACAATTCAGTGCATACTCACCTATACATTTCCCCGATGAAGCAGCCATACTATAACCAGGTGCACATTCACAGTCATAAACATTATTTCCAGTGAAAACACAGACTTCACCTTCTGTGCAGGTATCAGTGGCGTCCAAACAGTGGTTGATGACTGTTAAGCGGAAACACACAAATACTGAAAGTCATACATGCCATAACAATATATGCCTTTTAAAGATTTTATGCAATAGCATTTTGTTCTATTGAGGTCTGTGAAACACGTTTTCTTTCATAATCGTGTATGTACATTGCATGGAATTCATCAATCGTTTAGTTTCTGTATTTCACAAATGTATACATAGATTTCTATGACTGTCAACATATAACACATCGTGGCGGACAATGCACTATTTACTTGAGATTACTAGGGTGATTACTCAATATTATCCATAATTGATATCTAAAACTTACCGATATCATCACTTTTAAACGAGTTTTGACGTATATAAGTTGAAATCCCAACCAGTGTTCCATCCTGTGCTAGACCAACAGTGAAAGCCGATAGCAGATCATCAGAAGTTATTGAAGATGCGCTTTTTGTGTTAACAAGACATCGCACTAATGTTCCACCATCTGTATCTTCATATACAGCTACTATTGTGCTCAAATAATCAGAGGATATTTCTGAATTTGAAAACAGTGTTGCCATCTGAAAGAGACATACACTGTATTTAGACATACTAGGTCTGTACACTTTGCTTTCGTCTAATAATTCACGTCACAACATAGCACACTGTTGATATCAACTCTTGCATGTCACATTGTAAATGCACGTCAGAATATAAATATTATCTGTTAAACAAAGAACACATAATACTTACATCATCTTCTATTGTGGTCGTTATAATAGTATACAGTTCCGACCTTGTTGAAGTCAGGTCATTATTGAAATCTACAAGATTGATGCCTCCGACTGACGTAAGTATCATGGACACATTAAACGCTTTGGATTCTATGAATGACATAAATTTAGCCATGTCAATTGCGATAGATTAAACATTTCTGTATTTCGCTGTTTTTGAATCACAAGTAAGCCATGCTATCGACGTGCGTCAAGTTTATTTTATTTTAAATGTATATGTATTGAATCAAGTGATTCAAGAGCCCTTCTTACTTTTGCATTTGTCATCCTCCTTGTAGTATCCTGGTTTACACTGACATTGGTAGCTCCCAGGGTTGTTGACACATCGTTCATTGTCACCACATGGTTTATTTAAACACTCATTAATATCTAGGAAATATACATGGAGCACATTATAATAATTTAATTGCATATACAAATTATGATACTAGTTTAGAACCTCCTTTCTACCCTGCTTCACATTATTCGTCTTATATAGTAATGCAAAACGGTGGCCGTTGTGATACGTGTACTATTCCCATTCTAAAAATGTAACCACTAGGATCTCAACCTGATATTGTTCATCGAAATGTTTCTTCCATCTTTGTGTCCATAGCACAACACTACAATAATAACTCTTCGTTTTCAACATTGGTTTTTCACGTTTCATGAAGAAATTTACAGTATTTGGAAAGTAAAATCATATTTATTAAAGTCACTGTTTATACATGAGTTGTTAAACACACATATTATAATTTCAATCAGCTTCAAAAATATCATCATAAAATGAACAAATCTGAGATCGGTTCCCATGAGGTATCTATAATATCAAAGCCACCAAACTTTTTGCCCAAAAATTACAAAACTATTCGTCAAAATTTGAATAGTGAAGATATCATCAACGAAATTAAAAAAATCTGAGAGAGGTCTACCTGAAGTACCTATATGTATAATATCAAATCAAACGGACTTCAGGTTTTTCAATACCAAAAAATAATTCACTAAATCGGAGAATTAAAGATATCATCACGAAAAGAACAAATCTAAGAGAGGTCTACCCAAGGTATTTATGCACCCAGTATCAAAACAATTAGGCTAGTAGTTTTCAAGAAGAAGTCCAAAAAGTGAAAGTCAACACCAAAGCTAAAAATATCGAGAATATAACAAATTATGTTTTGTTTTTAATATTCATGTGTAATCGATGAAAAATATTATTAGGGTGCTTATCGAATATCTTTTGTTACCAGTAAACTTACTATATTTCGGTTTTCAAAAAAAAAAAAACACAAAAAAAACACACAATTTCGAAAAACGGAACGTCTTTATTTTAATCTTGGAACGCCATTCAAAGAGCCAAACAAACGCTTTCTCACTAGTACATAAAACTATATACCACTTAATGAAGACCAAATATTACATTAATATCATAACTAATACTTACCTTGACAGGATAAGGGGTCAGCAATTGAATAACCATCATTGCAATCACATATATACGATCCTGGTGTGTTCTGACATTCACTGTTGACATCGCAGCTGTCTCTTCCTAACAAGCACTCATTGACGTCATTACAGGTGTTGTGTTCATCTTCTTCATAACCAGCAATACACTCACAGTAATAAGAACCGATAGTATTCACACAATCAGCCATTGCGTCACAGCTTACATCATTACATTCATTTATATCTAGAAAGAATAAAAAAACAAAAAAACATTTAAACATATATCACATATAAATATTTTCCGAAATAGGTCCATTAATATCTTTATTGCAGAAGACCATAGTGCTCATGTTAAAATTCACACACTTAATGCTTAGTAAATTAGCTTTTGCCATTACTGTTATTCCAAGTTCAATATTTAAAAATAAAATATTTCAAAATTACTTTTTTAATTTTGCGACCAATAATATTTGTCAGAACCTAATTCATATTTCATGAAAGAAATAATTATTTCCCAAAACGTTTGGTCATCTGGAATCTAACCAAATCCAGTTTTTGGATAACGAGAATGTGTAGATAAATAAAATGCATCCAAGAAGTCACGTGCTACTATTCATTCATTTCAATATTCAACGTTCAACGTTATTGTATGCCTGTATCTTGTATGTATACACAGAGTAACAAATAACGTGTAAGTTCAAATAAAAACAAGCCATGCATGGTACAGTCCCCGTTAGTTATCAAATTCAAGATATATAGTTTTGTTTATATAGCTGGAATATAACCATGTCAGGAATACGATTTTTTAACATTAAAATTATTGACATTTGTATCTGATCGTCAAACAAGTACTTGTCCATATTGAGAGATATTGCTCTGGAACAGCATTCAAAATTAGCCATTTTGAATACATGTATATATATACATATATTTATTTACATTATTACATGTAACTGTATTGTAGTAGACTTTAGATATCTAACTTGATATGTTTATTTTAACACCTTTATTACATTTTATAAACCAAAATAGATATGTAATTCATTCTATAAGGTTATAATAAAGAATTATCTTATCTTATCTTATCTTATCTTATCTTATCTTATCTTATCTTATCTTATCTTATCTTATCTTATCTTATCTTATCTTATATAACATGATGTATAACGAATATATAAAATTTGAATATAATCAGTCAAAGCATTTAAGAGATATGGCTCTAGAAACCCAAGACATTAAAACAAAATGGCCACCAGACAGCCATTTTGAATCCGATCTGAAAAATAAATGATGTGCATCAGGAACCTGTAATATATGTACCAAGTCTGAACCAAGTCTGAACGAAATCCATCAATAAATGCCAGAAATGCTTGATATTTGATGATTTTTTAGCA